AGGCAAGTTTACGATTGGCAATCAGCCTTATAAAAAACGCGCCTTAAATGCGCACAAGAAGAAGAAGAAGAAGAAGGAGGAGGAAGAGGAAGAGCGAATCAGTAAACATAAGAGATAAAAACAAATAATATAGACCCAAAACGATTTCAATTTATTGAACTAAGCCTTGGCAATCGGACGATGACGTCTAAAGCAAACGAAAAATTGGGATAGGTTTGATTTGGCACCAAAATATGAATGTGTGCATAGCATATCAACAATTTGTTATATGACAAGCAATAACAACAACAACAACAACAATGTTTGGCTCAGAGCCAGCCACGAGGCGTTGGCTTCATTTATGCATCTCTGGCTGCATCTGTAGCAGCATCTGTTCTCTGACAACAGCAGAAGCTGGCCAAAAGTGCAATTGATAAATGAGAGACAGGGCGAACGGGAGAGCTACAGAGAATAACGGAGAGAAGAGAGAGAGAGAGAGAGAGAGAGAGCTAGCCTGCACTCATTTCCATAGTAGTAGACGCCAACGCAACGCTACAAAAAGCGTTGCTAATTGAATGAAATAAAAGTCAATGCAACAACAACAGATGCATCACTGCATGGAAGAAACAACAACGAATACTCAACACCCTCATCATATAATATTCTCAAATCAATTGTAAAGAAGAGACCAAATTTATAAGAAAAAATTAGTGATAAGAATAAGTAATATGAAATTATAAGGGAGCATGAGACAGACAATGAGAGAAGCATTGAGAGTGAGAGAGAGATAGGGAAAGAGGGCGAAAGTAGGAGAGACAGAGAGACAGAATAACGGAAGAAATAGTTTTGATATATGCAGATTATATAATAATAATTAGTGGGAGTCAGATATAAAGAAAGAGGCATTACAATATAATATAATATATAGGATAATAATATATAGAAAAGACAATTAAAACATATATTCAAATTAAAGAAAAATAGGCAGATTTTATTGTCATGTTAAAAAAAATATATCAAATAAATACCTAAATATATGAATTCAAAAATAAATAAATAAATAATATAAATTTCCATTCAATTCAATAATGTGGGTCGTATGATCTAGCTGAACTACCTTCCCTGGGTATTCCCTATATCGAATGCCTCGCGCAATTGAGCATTGCCGGTTTTGCTGTCGTCTTGCACAGTGGTCCGATCGTCGCTCGTCGGAATCGTCGAACCGGTGTGGCCCGTCATAACAAATCGACAAGCAGCGACGACGACGTCGACGTCGCGTCGTGCCGCGAACTGCGACGTGAGCAGCGCTGCCGGCTACCAGCTGCCAGCTGCCAGCTGCCAGCTGCTGGCTGCTGTGAAGATCAGAGACTGACCAGGCGCGTTCGCTTTTTGTGTGGCAGACAGACTTGAGTTGTATGTGTATCTGAACGATACGAAGAGCCAGCGTACGTACGGAATCGAGTGTGCTGAGAGTGAAAGAGAGGATGGGTGAGTGAGTGAGAGGGGCAGCGGGTCAGCGACTGAGGAGGCGGTGCGGTGCGGTGAGGTGCGGTTGAACGGTACTCAGTGACTCGTTAAGTGCTTTTTATAACGGCAGGCGGCATCGATTTCCACGATTTCCACCTCCATTTGCGATCGATGATTGATTCGATTTCGAGGGCAAATTGCTGGAACATTTGTTGCATGTGGCGAATCTCTTATTTAATCAAATGTGCTACACTCTGTGTTCTCCAGTGAGTGTGTTTGTGTGTGTGTGTGTGTGTGCAATTTACTGTGCTTCAATTGACAAAGCGGCAAAAACTAACAAAAGAATTCAATTAAGTAGCGACGCGATGCTCTTTTTTTGGCGCAAATTCAATTAATAAGCGCAAAATGCAAAAGCAAAAATATGCGTATACAAATATATAAAAGCATACAGAAATTGAAGAGAGAAAAAACTAATGGAAATAATTTAAATAATAAGCGTATATTGCAAAACGAAATGAATAAAAAATAAATAATTTATGACAAATATGGAAGCAAATTCTGAAACAGAAAACCAATAAAATTATTCAAAACAAAGTGCAAAGCCAGAAAAAACTAATTAAAAGTCGCCAAGAGCGAAAAAAATAATAGTTATTTTAATTTAAATAAATAAATACAGTGAATTCGCTGCCAAATTATTCAAAGATTCAATGTGATGAAACGGTTAAAATATAAAGAAAATATTTTTTTTTTTTTTTTTTAATTAATAAATAGTTTAAAGATAACTAAAAAGCGCAATGCTACGGCTTATATATAATGAAAATATATTTTTTTCAATTTATTATAAAAACAGCTTAATAGTTAAAAAGACAACCCCAATTTAGTTCATTTTATTTGATATATAAATAAACAAGTTAAAAAGTTTATTCTTTTAAAATTTACCAAAATGCCCACTATTTATATTTAAATAATATGTTAAATTCACCCAATGCAATACACTTGAAGTATTAAAGAAATATGTTAATAAAGAAAGCAGACAGCGAGACGGACATTGCATAAAAACACTTTCGTGAATGAGTTGAAAAATGAAATCAGGCCAAATGGCACAGTAATAATATATATAATATGTATACATACATATATATAATAAATATAATATATATACATATTTGATGTTTGAAAATTAATTTAAAAGCAAGTCTAATATTTGTTAAATACAAACAAATAAAATAATTGAGTTTACATGTAAATTGCATTAATATAAACAAATAAATATGGGGCATTACACATTGTTGGACATGTGCTAACGACTTAAGTCAAGCGCCAGCTCTTTTCTGCTGTTGTTGCAATTTCATTTGCTGTTTGTTTACTTTTATTAAATTTGTTTTTGTTTTCTATTGTGCACTGCGCCGATTAGCCCAATTGTGGCTATTTGCCCAATGTGTGCGTGCCACGCCCACAATTTGCTTAGTTGTCCCACCCACATAATATCATTTGTGCGTGTAAATTTTTCGTTAATTGCTTTTTTTTTTGCGGCTGTCTTGTTAACATTTGTTGTTGTTATCGGCGTTGTCAGTATTGTTGTTGTTATTTATTATTGTTGCATTTACAAGCTAAATTATTTTTATTGCCGCTCGTAATTAGCAAATTGTTTTCATCCAGCTGCACTGATGACGTCACAAGAGCAAACAAAATATCTTTTAATTGTTTAGATACATATAGTATGTGCTTACATATATACATACATATACACTCATACATTTCTTGTACTTTTGCTTTGCGAATTCAGCGTAGTCATCAACAACTGAAAAGCCAGGCGAGGGTCGTTTGAAAAAGTGATAATAAAAAATGTATATTTTAATAAATCAATTATTAAGGAGAGCATAAATATAAATAAACTGTAAAATAAATTAAATGAAAAATAATAAATATTCATTCATAAATAATTCCAACTTCGTATTTTCACTTTCAAGTTATCCAAGATTTGAGCACAGCAATTTAATAAACTGCCCTCTCATTGAGTACAGCTGAGAGCTGGATTTAAGAAGATGTGTGAACGAAAGTATGAAAAGGTAAAGCAAAAGCCTGAGGGCGACCGTGGCTAAAGAGATGACCCAAATATATCATATACATATTTTTTTAAATATCTAGAGTACTTTACTCTTAAAAGTTGCAAAAGTAAAAGTTAAACTTAAGTATAACTTATTTACCGTTTCAAATTAGGTGCTCACAGCTTACGGTTTCGCCATTAGTTTCCAATCTTTTGCTACGAAGCGAAACATGTGACTATAGTTTTGTGTAATTATCTTTCTGGCACTCAACGCATCCTTAATGGGCTTTAATTGGTCTGTGGCTTTCATTGAAATTTATGACTGCATAAATCGGAAAGCAAAACAAAATCGTATTATTATTTAATGTTTTTCTGTTTCCACTGCGCATTGCAAAGCAAAGCAGACGCAAAAAACATGAAATCAAATTCCATTTTCTTTGCCATCTAATGTAAGTGATTACCACAATTTGCATGCCGTGTCTGTGTATGGCTGTGTGTGTGGGTGTGGGTGTGGGTGTGTTGTTGTGTGTACTTTAAAAGCTAAGAGCTTTACACAAATATTTGGCATTTTCATTAGAGGCACTCAAAGTGCCAGAGCAAAGCAAAGCAAAGCAGAAAATAGAGTTCATATAGCTTATGCTCTACTCTTTTCGATATATCTTTATAGAGTGAATGCATAAATTATTATTGCATTAGCCGCAATAGTTTTTCATATTCGTTTTATTTTTTGGTTCCACACACGAAACGTGACACTTGGCTATCAGATTTTGCACTTGAACGCTAATAAAAAACACGCAACACATGAAGGTTGCGGTTGGGGCACGTAAATACAAGTAGTTCGACACCTAGTCATAGGTACGAGACAGTTACAGTTATTGGCTGCTTACAAAAAGCTAGACAAACAGTTGAAAACCCAAAAAAAAGTTGATTAATCGAGCGACTTGACAGTTACACTAACCAATCGAAATCAAATACGTCACTAATGTACTTCTTACTTAAATTCTTCTTGTTTACAATGCAAATTTACCATATTGAACGTATTGAAAATATTAGAATAATGTTAAAAGTATCAATTAAAATGTTTAACATATCACATTCTATTAAAATAACAGCGTGTAAGAGTTGTTCGCTCGTGTGAAAGCGTATGTCGGCGTCGTTATCAACTGTGCTACACTTTTCATTTACGTTGCAAGCGATCTAATTGATTTTTGGTGTGCTTAAAAGTCGCTTTAGCAGCGCTCAAATGCAATTATGAGCTCAGCGGCAATTAAAAACGAAACGCGGCATTAACACGTTTTGGGGCAAACGCGATAATTAGCGTTTAAATGATGTCAAATGCGATCAACTCTCGTTAATCAATGTAAACAATATATATTAGCAGCGTATAACATGAATATAACAGTTGTCATTACAGCTGCCTGCTAGTTAACAGCGCTAGCACAGCGCTCAAAAGCTTGCTACGTTAAATAGCATGCAGAGCACAAAATGGCTGCTCAAGTAATCAGAACGCGTTTGAAACTCGAGCGAAGCGCACGTGCTGTCAACAGTCGCGAAAAGAGCGTACAGAGCAAATTAGGAGAGGCGCCCCTTTCGACTGTTGTCCAACAACAAGTGTGTGTGTGTGCGTGTGCGAGTGAGTGTGTCTCTCTCGTTTCTCTCTCTCTCTCTCTCTCTCTCTCTCTCTCTCTCTTCACCTGTGCTTGTGTCATATTCACCACACTTTCAAATAGGGGACAGGCTGTGTGTGCTTTTCACAGCGTGTGAAAATATTCGCACACTCACAACGTCTTGGCGAGCACGCGAAGCCAGTTGCTCCTTGAAATTTCTGTGCGTATACGAGTGCGAGTGCGAGTGCGAGTGCGAGCTACAGCGAAAGCGATAGTGCCAAAGTGAGCGCGACTGTGAGTGCGAGTGCGAGTGCGATACAATAAAAAAAGTAAACAAACGTGCAAGCGGAAGAAGTAAAAACTGCCAAAAAAAAGAGCATAGCTTGTAAAGCTTTGTTTACAGTTACAGTTATTTTAACTGTTGCTGTACACTCTCTCTCATTCCCATTTTCTCTGGAATTTACATATGTCTTTAATCTAATATAAGTAGCAGAGCTCTGTTTTCGCGCTTAGCAGTGGGTAGAACAGTTAGCGGTTGGGCAGGGGTTGCAGCTGTCGGCAAAACGTGTCTATTTAAACAAACAAAACAATTTTAAAAAATTTAAAAAAAAAATTTTTTTTTTTTATACAACGGAATAAAAATATTTATTTGTATGTATTCATTTAATTATATCGTTTTTTATCACCACGCGCGTGCATAAACATGGATAAAACAAAGCCAAAATAAATGCAAATTATTTATATTCAATCATTAGTCATAAAATAATCATATGCAACAACAACAACAACAACAGTAACTATTAAACAGCTAATGAACTGCGCGAATATTAAAATTTAAGCGATATTATTTCATTTTATTTTCGTTTTATATGATCTGTGGCATTTGCAACAATTGAAATTGCACCATGTGCGCTTTGTCAATTAATATTTTAATTTCTGTATAATGAAATTCACATGTGAAATTTATGGCTTCTGTCAATTTATCGCGCTTGTTGTGTTCTGTTCTCGCGCAAACTCGAGCAGAAATTCAATTTGCATTTAAAATGAAATTTAAACAAATATTTTTCTTTTTGTTATTATTATGATCCTCAGCTTGTGGCTAACGAAAGGCATTTAAATTTGTCTGCCTATAAGAAATCAATAATACTTAAATACCAAAAATAAAAAACAAAACAAAAGCCAAAGAAATACGTATCAAAAAGTAGAAGCAGAAAGAAAAAAAAAAAAAAAAAACAACAACAAAACGGACAAGTGTGCAAAAGAATCAAATGAATCAACAACAACAACAGCAACAACAACCACTAGTTAAACCACCTATACTACTTATAAAGAGCAACAACTAAACAGCAACAATAAATATTCGAACAACAAGTACAATAGCAATACAACAACAAAAGCAACAGCAACAGTGAACATGTCGGAAAACAGCGACAACAATGGCGACCAGCAAAGCCAAGGCCAGGGGGCGGAGGGCGAGGCCATGGGCGAAAACAAAATGAAGTCCCGTCTACGCAAAGGAGCCCTCAAGAAGAAAAACGTTTTTAATGTGAAAGATCATTGCTTCATCGCGCGCTTCTTCAAGCAGCCCACATTCTGTTCCCACTGCAAGGATTTTATCTGGTAAGTTAACAAGCAGATCAATTTAACTGGCAGTTAGCGTAGACAAGTGTATCCTAGACAGGCTTAAAACTATTAGAGAAGATGTACTTAGAAAATCTAAAATACTTAACTAGAAACATTTGTCATTAGAATATTTGTTTATGATTTATTTTGATTCTTTATTCATAACTATTTTTAATGAGTAGCTTGTTTGATACTTCATAGATAGATTTTAAAATTTATCATACATTTTAGTCTGTACATATACAAAAAAAAAATTTTCATTATAAAGGGCACATTTTCATTTAATTATCAAGATATAAAATAAAAATATCAAGAAATAATAAAAATATTTATACAAAACTTTTAAACATGGATTAATCAAAATTTAAAGTAAAAAGCATTATAAATGTTATTCAGCTAAGAATAGCTTAGTAGTCAATACCTATCCCACTCGCTCGCAGCCTACATCTCTTTCCACATATTACTGCTTGCTGCTGCCTTCAAATTCCCATACCTACAAAAATTCAGAGAGGAGACAAAAGTTTCATAAGCAATGTCTATGTCGAGACCTAGGTTAAGCTCTTGTTGCTCTTGATCTTCGTTGTTAAATTCTTGTATACCCTGTGAAATTCTTTAAAATTATGTTTCACGCCTGGCACTTGTGGGTCTACGCCGTGACAGCGAAATCGGCGACATAACTAAGCAGACTACGTCAATCGATATTATGCCTATCTGCGGCCAGCGAATAGCAACAGCTACAACAAAACAACAACAACGCGAAAAACAGGAAAGAGAACAAAGCCACACATTAAAGCCAAGCAAATGACATTGCAGTGGAAGCACGTTAGAAACCAGAGACAAGAATCAACTTTAAGAGAACGACCATTATATACCCTAGCAGAGGTGTAATTGAGATATATGACATATGAGATAATAAGAGAAATAAAAACATGATTGAATTTAATAGTGATATTTTAATAAATATCATTGTATTTATTACAGATGTTATCAAATATAAGTATATAAAATATGTATAAAGATCGAAAGCATCGGGGTTTTTATATTTGTACTTTTAGATTATTGAAAAGTTGCATATATTCTGAATGTTTTTGACATTTTTTAACACTCTCAGTGTTGATTCCTTAGTATATGATTATGGATACTATTTACAAAATTTTTACTGTTTCATATTTTGCAAATATGATGAACATAATTAAGCTATTCATTCTTCATTTAAATTTAAACTCCTGGACGTATTTATATAGCAACGTAATTTTATGAATTGATTTGTATATGATAACTTTTAGATGTAGAAAGGGTAACTCAGTAATTAAAAGTTTTCATGAAAAGATTTCATCAAAAAAGCTTTTGAAATACATAACTGTATATTTATATCCAACGATATCTTATATAAAGCACATGTATACGTTCCCTATGGAAATCATAATACCCAGTTTGACGTTGAAAGGTAGCATGTAGTCTGCCCTGGTCGTGTAATATTTAATTTAAGTGAAGCCCGCTCTCAAAATCTTGCCAAATCCGTTGTTATGCATACAAAATAAACACAAGAAATACAAAATTTTTGGGGCCAGTTGGCAGTTTGAGTTGCGCTTCCTTTTCCCTTATCCTGTTGCTCTTCCTGTTGCTGGCTTTTTACCCCGCTTTCGATTCAGTTTGACTTGTGGATTATGAACCAATCTCATGCGCATTAGCCAGCGGTTCACCTATCTACACACAAAAATAATTTGTTGAACGTGTTGGCACCGCAAAACCTTAGAAAATATTTGCGTAGCTTGCCAGTGAACCAACAAATTGCCAATGTGCCCAGTCTTTTCGGGAAATATTATATATTTATATTCTTACAGCGGCTATCAGTCGGGATATGCATGGATGTAGGTATTTTTATCGTTAAATGAAATATATATACTATATATCTCATTCATTTCGTTTTGCTAGTGGAGTGTTTTCAATCGCAAAATATCATTTTAGTTTTAAGTTATGATTCACTGATAATAAATTTAATTAATTCGAAAATAATTTCCATTGAAAACTCTGAAATGGTTTTAACAAGAATTTTACATATGATATTTATGAAGATTTAATTGAAGGCTATGAAGTGAAAACTTAATTGATTCATTTGTAAGGATGGTTTGTAAACAGACTTTATAAGTAGAGTTGCATCATGCCCTTGGATCTTTGTATAATCAGTTCCTATAACCTGATTTCCTTTTTATATACAATCGGTTTCATAATGGGATTCTCAAATAGCCTTATCAAAAATAAAATACAAATAATAATGAAAAACAGAATTTTTAATTGAGAGTTCTGAAATATAAATCATAACTTTATTTATATGCTAAGCTTAGAGCTTATATGCACTACACAGCTGTCAGCAAGATATATCCAAATTAAAATAGCTAGCAACTAAATTTAGCTAGCAATTCTCTATGAAATATTTAATCATAATAAATGTCCTATTACGCATCCATATATTTATATATTTCAATTTACATTAGGTTAATTGAAGTCAAATTAATTATATTTGATATTCATAGTTTGGGAAAATTTTGTCGAGCGTTATACGCTTGGGCTTTCAATTTAATTAATTCAAAATTGAAAATTCTCAATAGCTCTCGAGTGTCAAAGGCCTCTCTAATCATTGCGTTGACAGCTCGAAAGCCACACAATGAAAATGACAAGAAAATTAATTGGAAAATCGCATAGCTGGGCACATGTCAACAAGTCAATTCAGATGCTGTAACGCCCAAAATTTGGGCGTGTCGCTGGCTCTTAGCTAATTGCCATAAAACATTTAGCCAATAATTAAATTAATTGCTACTTAAAATGCGATCCAAGCTTCAATGATCCAAGTTTCAACACCAACAACAACAACAACAACAACAACAGAAAACCGGACTCCAAGCGCGAGTGAGCCATGTGAAACCGAGTCAAACAGCCCATAAGAGACATTTGGCTCTACACCCAGATACACGCACAGATGCCTAGCTGTTTCGCCGCTGTATTCGTTGTTCTTTTGGCCACATTGCGTACGCCTCTTTTGGCCAGCGGCAGCTAATTAACAACTCGAGTTACAATTTTCGACTCGCAACGCGTTTCGCGACTCGTTTTGGCCTTTTAATTAATAGTTGTTGGCTCTGTGGTGGGTGCACACAGCCCCCAAAAGGCGTTGCAGGCACGTAGCACGTAGCTGCTGGGCGCACCGGGAGAACGGGGGACGGTGTAAGTGGGACCTGACAACGTGTCGTGTGGCCTCTATGCTTCCCAGGTGGCTAACTGCTTTTAGGGGTAGCAAGTGAAAATCGCCGCAGTGTTTATGCCACGTAATTTGCATAACAGAAGCGAGAGAGCACAAAAAAGAATAGAAACAACAACAGCAACAAATAACAGAAGACTGATCTAGTCAGGTCCTGACTATATAATACCCTCAGCTCGAATTGGAGCCTGTCACGTAGTCACTTTACTGTATGTATATTACATAACATGCGACCATCCAGATTGGAGCCAGTCAACTAAATTTAATATATCTATTATGCAACACTCTTATCTCTTTGTCAACAGTTAGTTTATTCCACGTTGACAGCAGCTAAATACAATTATTTCATTAATTTCCTGTTTATGCAGCGGTAAACATGCATCGCAATATTTTATTATATAAAAACCTAAATAAAACGCTCTAATGAAAGCATAGAGCATAATTACACGTTTATATAAATATATGTATATAAATTGTATATATTAGAGGTTGGAGAATTTTTGAGGTTTTCGTTTGTATATGCTATGCAATATATAATATATAATATACCAGAATATATAAATATAAATGCGCATACCCTCCGCAAAAAAATTGAATATATATTCCAAATTGTTAATAGAGATTTATACATCGTTATATACTTATTCACTCCGCATTTGTATACTTCTTGGTCTACTTATTTATTGCAGGGTATACGAATTATAGCACCTCTGACAAATTTCGCATTTCCGACACGTTGCCTTTTACTCTCTCGTATACTCAAGATACATTACCGTCTAAATGCAGTCAAGTTAACACGTTTTTTATGCCTCAACATGTAGAAGCTGGCGCTCTTTTATGTTTTGACAAAATCAGAAGGAGAAAGTGTTTTATTTGTCTGCCTGCATTTCGACTCTGATTAAACTCTCGCTAAAGCTCTATCTCTCTCTCCCTATATACATATGTAAATATGTATCTGTATATACACATGAAAACAGAAATTCCGAATTGTTTACCTTTATCTCTGCATTCCACATAAATTGATATGTCATGTGAAGTATTGATGTATCGTTCTTATAACTAAATCAAATGTTATAAACACAACAAACACTATTATCACAATTATTGACTATGTTCAATCATCCAAAATGACATTTGCTGAAAGCATCGCGAGCTGTCATTACCCAGAATAAGCAAGGCGCTGCAGCTGTTGAAGTATAAATAGTTAACTCTGAACTAATGCAGCTTGAGCATTGAACATTCTTTTGCCGCAATAACTATGTCAAATTGCTTTCAATTTATATTGTACATTTTATGGTTATTGTAGATGAGTACAAGGCGCATATATGCTTTTAAAGATATAAAATAAGTTTTTATCAGCAATAACTATTTATATTGAGAAACTTGGCAAATGAACATGGTGCGATTGTATAAGAGAAATTTACGAGGAAAAAGAACTTTGCTTTCTCTACAAGCTTCAAAGCGACATTATAAATCGAGAATTGCTCATAAATTATATATTTCGGCAGAACATTTCAGTTTTTGTTTGAGTAAGTTTGTGGAATATAATTATGGCTTTCATTAATAATAAAACTCCCAGAATTTTCCTTAAACTTTTCTTTGATTAATCACGATTTAATTTTCTAAGCTGTAAATCATATAATTAATTGCAAACGAAAGTCACGAACTCGTGCAGCTTTATCTACGTAACTTTTAAAATCAATCTTAAATCTGTGGCGTGCACTTTTAAGTTTTTCGCTTGCGTGTTAAATTAACTCGCATCAACTCGACTCAACGCAAAATATATTTTTTCCCGTTTTTCTTTGCTGCAGAATTTTTGCTTTTATTTTGTTCCTTTTGTTGGTGTGCAAAAAATGCGCTTAATTAAAAATTGGAAAAAAAAACTGCAGGCAAAAATGTGCAGAAAAAACTAGGCAAGGCGAGCACGGTGGAAAAATACCTGTGTAGCATATCTGCAGGCGCGGCGCATGGAAATTGCTTTTCCAGTTCATTTGATGCGCAAACTAACAAAAAACAAGGTAAAAGAAAAGCCTGAATAAGCAATGACAAAGAACGAAAAAAAATCTAACTAACAAATTGACAAACATTTCAAAGCAAGAAAAATTATTAACCGTAATTAAACTAGAGTGCATATTATTAAATGAACACAGAAAATTGTCCTCCGGGCCTAAGCTCCGTAATTGTTTTCATTGAAGTCTAATCGGATTTTGTCAACTGTAAACCTCAAATTTATCTGGCAATTAAAACGGGTTTTACGTAAAACACAATGAGGGATTCCAAAGCAAAATAATTGTGTTTGGTGTGATGTAATTAAATAGAATTCGAATGGACAGGAAGTGGCCGTAATTAATATTTCCTATCAATTTTTTCAGTACCAGGACTTAACTGAAATTGATAGCTATTATTGTAAATTTATATATACATATGTACATTTGTATATATATAATGAGCTATGAATAGAAAAAGTAAATCGATACAATTTCCAAAAATAATTTCAAACAGAAATGTAAAATACAAAAATAATGAGATGCACATTCAATATACATGTATAAACAAGAGAGACTGCTCCCTTTTAGGCGTACTCGACTTAGAAATACCCTGATCCCTGACAGCTCTGATGATTTCATCAAAATATGGTGCACAAATACACGCACTGACATCAGCAGATTAGCTCATATAACTTCTTTAATTATTGTGTATCTATATAAATAATTTATATTTGGAGTATGATTAATCAATTTTAATGAATGGGAATAGATATTTATGTATGCCCATAATAGGAACTTATTCTTCAAATTTGATTTATGTCAGCAATGTTCTGACAAATTGATATTCATGGGAATTAAGAAAAGAAGACGTAAAATGCAAGCAACAAAATTATAGATGTATATGGAATGACAGAATATATATTTCAATTTTAATTCTTGTTGATAACTTCTAAGATCAACACATTTTGACAGACAGAAGCAGAAAATAGAAACTCAAGGGGTCACGCCTCCTTTTTCTTTTTATATGTATTTGCATAGGAATTGTATGTTATATTCCTATAATTAAATATATATATATTTAAGCAAATTCAATGAATAGTATTTGTAGTAGAGAATACACAACTTGCCACTGATTAAGAGTACACAAATACATTAATATATGTATGTATATGCATATCAACCAAAGTTGTCTTCCTCGCTGCAGTTTACATTTGTGCACAATTTTATAAAGCGACCACTGCAAAGCGCGCATATTATATACAAATCGCTTAACAAAGCGCCAATAGAGCAGATTTGCATGCAGTTTATGCAGTATATATATTTCTGTACATATGCACATAAATATATGTACACACACAAACAAATGTACATATATGTATGTATATATATTTGCGTGCCACGTATGGCATCGTGTGTGCGAGAAGGGTTGGGGCTGCGGCCTGAGTTCAGTCGATAAGCGGCTTGTGGTCAAGGCATTTATGGCTTATGGAATATGCCTAAGACGGGCAACGTAAGCCACAACACAAACGAACCGGCCTACCCAACTGGACCAAACACTCGGACGTAACGCTTAAGCTGAAAAGTAGGAAGTATAAATTCGAAAACCACTCACACACACTCACGCACAAGCACGTACATACATGTATACCTGCATGACATGAGCCCTAAAAACAACAACGAAATATGAATTTTGCATTGCAAATTTCTCTTGTCAACGAGCAAACAGAATTCGTTACAAAATTCATTTTAATTTAATTTTCAATTGCAATAAAAACAAACAATTTTCAAGGATGTCAAATATTTAAATTGATGTACATGGTAATATTATATAAAGTGAGAAGAATTAATTAAAAGAGAAGAACAGAGCTCAAAAAAAAAAAAAAAAAAAAAAAAAGCAAATAAAAAATATTATGAACATATTAATATATACATATATCAATTATTAATCAATTAACTACAATATTTATTTAATATATAAGTTTAAAAAAAAAAATCTATTAAAAATAATAAAAAATCTGTTAAGCTTTGGATAGCAAGTTAAACTTTTTAAGAGTAATCAAATTTACAAATTGCAAATATATACATTCGGAGCTAAAGTCTCGAGTATGTAAAAGAAACATTATTGCAAATGAATATGAATATAAAATTACTCTAATAAAGTGCAAATAGTTGCACTTAGTTCACTTAACACAAGTCAGCTCTAGCATCTTCAATCCATCCGAGATGCCTCTCAGCTGACCTACTTTACAGATTAGCTCAGCGGCCACGCCCTCAATGTAAGCACATTCTCCATTGATATGGGCAACAATAGATTTTCTGTTTGTTTTTAATCTGAACGGCTCTAGCTTGTCCTTAATACGCCTTCTCCATTTAGTATATATATTTTACAATATTTTAATAATATAAAAAGTATTTAAAAAGGAGGATACTAATTAGAAATTCTTTCGCTTAAAGCCCTTAGCAATGGTTTGTTGCGCTGCGATGCCTGCTGACCTTTGACCTGTAAAGGCAATCCATTTGTTTTTCTATATTAATTATATTGATTGAACTGCACAGCGAGCAAAGAGGCCCAGAGGCAAAGAGCCCGGCAAAAATTAGCATATTGTATTTGCTGCGTCTGCAAATTAAATATTTATGCAAAGTGGTTAACACACACACACATACACACACACACACACACTCAGAAGAGTCCCAATAGCAATTCAATTAGTGCAAATTAGCAGCAACCACATTTTGCGTGTAATTTAACTAATTCTGACTGAAATTTCCCATTGGCATTTTTCAGGGGCTTTGGCAAACAGGGATTCCAGTGTCAAGGTATGTAAATAGCTAGGGATCGAAGTGATCCCCCAATCTATAGAGAGCTTTATTAAATTTCGATTCATTTACATTTACAGTCTGCTCGTATGTGGTGCACAAGCGTTGCCATGAATATGTCACCTTCATCTGCCCCGGCAAGGATAAAGGCATCGATTCCGTAAGTGATCCCCTTATATATGATATATATACATACAATAGAGTACGCTCCTAGCACAAGCTTAACTGATTATATTTACTTAGCTATGTGTAGCTTTAAGTTTGCAGCATTTTCATGTGTGTGGGCGGAAAAACTAAACCAATAACTAAATTCCAAATTGCTTTCAATACACATTTTCAAGGAAAGTAAATGTCTTTCTCTCTCTCTCACTCTCTCTCTTTGCTTATGTGTATAGAAATATATTTTTCCATGGCACTTTTTGTTCTGTTGCACTGTCAAATTAAACTGTCATTTTGTCATTTCCTTATATTTTGTTTTTTTTTTTTTTTTTTTTTTTTTTTTGCTTGAAAAATGCCCGACTCAAGCGTCATGAGTTGCCTGCTGATGCTTCTGCCAGCTCGGCTGTTGGCTTACCAAAATGTCATTTTGACTTTTTAGCATACCATGAATTTCATATTTGTGCTGGCCCCGGCTATAAGTTGTCCCCAGCGCAAAGCCGCCACACGTATCACTTGTCAGAGAGACGCAGAGAAATGCGACGTTTTAAGATGATGTGAGGGTTCAGTTTATTCATGTTAACGACCAAAATATGAACTGCATTTATGTGACAGCAAAATAATTAAAATAGTATTAATAAAAAGCTGAAGTGACTCAGCTGTTAGCTCAATGTAAGTAGCATGTAGAATGAGCAACCAAGAGAACAAGGGATCAGGTAGATTAAAAATGATTTAATATGATATCTTACATTCAGACATTTTGCCCTAGCTAAATAAACAGTAAGTAAAGGAAAAAAGAGTTAGCAGAAAACTAACAGGGAACAGAACCGAACATTTTGAAGGAATTTGTTATACAGGAACTGAACCTAACTAAATGAACTCGAAATTATGTGATCAATTGGAGATTGTTGAGCTAAGAATGATATGAATGAAGTGAATGTTAATTCTCATTGAATTGGAATATAAATATCAAACGGAAGAGTGTGCGGGGTAAAAGTAATATATGTCAAAAGTAGTAGTAGTACTAAAGGTAGTGTAGCGGAAAATAAAATTGGTAGTAAAATTCTATTAAAAATTATCAGATGAATTAAATGATATAAAATTGAGGACATAAGGACACATCTATGTGATAATAAAAATAAATAAATAAAACAATTGGAAATTGAATAAAATAAGAAAAAACGCCCGAAAAATCCACATGAAAATGCTAAAAGCTTGCACAAAGTGATAACAAGAATATTATGAAATATAAACTTTAAGTTAATTTTGGTTGCTTAACAATATAGAATGAAACAAAAAAAAAACAAAACACAAAGATAACAACCAAATACTAATCACAACTTAGATTTAAAATTAGTTTTGCTTGTTGTCCATTCAGCAATGTTTTATTGTCATCGTGCTCTGTTTATTTACCACAAATTGTATTTTGTATTTTCATGTACCAAAACAAACAAACGAAAACAACATTTTTGTTTATCTATCAAAATCACATCGCTCACCATAAATATTGAAATAAAAAAATAAAAATAAACTTAACTCGAAACTGTGGCACGTTACACGCATTCCAATTGATACCAAAAACAACAAATTCAAAACTGAAGGACTCACCAAAAACTCAGCACCATTTCGAACCATTCACATATGCAGGACCCACGTTCTGTGACCATTGCGGTTCCCTGCTCTATGGCATTTACCATCAGGGCCTCAAATGTTCAGGTAAAGTCAAGAGACCCACTTCCAGTCTAACCCATGTATAAATACCCCAGCCCCCAAGTCTTTGGCTGTCTCTTTTACACTTTTCTTAACTAAACTATCGCTATGTTTATGCTCTGTTGAGGTGCTGCTAATGCGCTGTTAACTGGCTGCAAGGCCCTTAGAGCTCCTGCTAATTGCTTGCCCAACTCTCTAACTATCCATTCTTCTATCTATATCCTCTGTAAATATACTTCTATGTTTCTGTGTGCGTGAGTGTGTATGTGTGAGTGTGAGTGTATATGTATACAACATTTTAAACTAATTTCTGCTATAATCGTACATTAAGTAACTCACAGGCCCCTAAAAGTTAATTATTTAAACCATTGTACAGATTTATGTTTTGCCTAAATACTTAGCTACCCCTGTATATTATACCAAAACCCTAACTACCTTTATAGTATATATATATATATTTGTATATATATAAACATTTGTAAGCTCCACCCAACGGCTTTGTGTGTGTTTAAATTTTTGGTAATTGTTTGAAAAAGTTTTTCTCTCTTTATTTTTTGTGTGTGGGTGTGTATGCGTGTGTGTGTATGTGTGTGTGGGTGTGTGCTGGCACGTGTCCAGGTCATGTAACTTCCAATACATTTGCATAATTATGCAGAGCACGACCATGCAGGACATTGTATAGCACAGGATGCTTATATCTAAATTGTATAGAGTTTTTGAGCCGCAATCTAATTAAAATTTCAATGTTTGTGCAGGCTGTGCAGCAGATAAAAGCGAAGCCAAATCTGCTAAATATATTATATTCCGTTGAAATATGCAAAACTCTTTCATAATAAGGTTAGCTGCCTCCAGGGGCTAGTGAGTATGCTGAAAGGGCAGCTTCTTCAGCTGCCTCCGCCTCTGCCTTTGTGGCTGCGCAAATATTTAATGCACTTTCGGCCCGCATAAATGCAATGCTTCAGCTGAGAGATTTCCGAGCTTTTCGAAGTCAACAATAGTTGCGCTTTGTTATGTGGTTGGCTTTTCTAAATGTGAGTGAGTGGGACAGCTGTGTCTATGTGCGAATCTACACAGAACGTATTTCCCAATAGTCTAAAGTGGAGATATGCATTTCGTTTTAAACAGTCTGTGTATCAGCTTACACTTCCACCTCTTTTCCTTTCGCTGTTCCACTTTGTGCAGTGTGTTAAAGTGCCATTAGCTTAAGTGCTATAATAGCTCTACATCTGAACTGAATGCAAGAGAAGTTACAGCATCCTATACCTATATATTCTGTCAGTCGAGATCTCTTGCCTCTTACGGCTTTGCCAAATATTGTAGAGTCAAGTGCAGTTGTTGAAATTACTCTTGCCAGTTGAAAGTTTTACAACTGAGGACTTAATTAGTATAGCCACGCCCGCACTTATCAACGACTAGCTAGCAAAGTGCCCTCTGCTAGGCCCCAAACAGTCTGTTTGTGGTAATTTACGCAGGCAAATTCAAGTGCTGTTGGGGAACCTTCGGAAATGCCCTCGCAATAGGTATTGTATTATGTATGTGTGCGTGTGTGTTATGTGCATGTGTGTGTATGGGTGTGGGAGTGAGTTGACTCAAACTTAAGGTTCGGAATACGGCAGAACTCTTAAGTGTTCGATTCGCTGGTGGGGAAAATCGATGAGGGCAAAAACTATGCAACGAAAGAATTGAAAAGATGCCATGGCAACTATTTAGCGGTCGAGCATTTTCTTTTGCTGTTAATCAATGCGTGAGAAATGTAAACGTATAAGCGGAAATTGCCTGCGCAGAGCTGTTGCTATTTCATCATAAATTTAACTACATTTGCAACACCTGCCCGATAATTCGGTACAATGCGAAAGTGAGACAACTACTACTATGCCGTTTCCCCAGTTATCCATATGAGTGTGTATGTGTCTGTCTTGTTGTAATAGAATCCCTGTGCTCAAGTGTTGCCTTTGTCCCATTTGAATCAGCCCTGTGATTGCATACAAGCATTGACAACCGATTGGAGGACGAAGCTCCGAGGAGACGCCCCGCAAGTTGTACGATTTGTGGTATTGTTGTTGCAAATCGGATCAAATATATTTTGTGACGACAGACACAGACAGCACCCAACACACACACATGCACACAAAGAGCGAGAGAAAGGGCGACAGTTTGATAAATATAGCAATCAATTTATCAACGGTCGAGTGCTTAGCACCTGTTGGTCCTGGCGAATACATATATGTGCTTAAGAAACGGGGGGCAATGCGACTTTGTCAAGTTGAATGCGACAGCCAAATAGTAAGGAGGAGAGATAGATGGAGAGAGAAACGGAAAATTAAAGAATGTGAGAGAAAAGTCATAAAGAGAAAGGAAGCAAATTAAACGAGGTGAAGAGCAGATCTGGCAGAAATAGAAGAAAACCAAAGAAAAATAGCTGAGAAACAATTGTGAGCTAATATATGAAAGAAAAGACAACAAATATTCTCATTGAGTGTCTTCGCTTTTACTCTTGAGACTGTCAACCACTCAGCAACGCATTCTCGTCAACTAAAGATGGCTCTTGAATTGCCATCGCCTCGATAGATGGTTCTTAAATAATTATCGCCACTTTCGATGGTTCTCCACCTTTGGATGCTATTGGTTTGCTACACAATTGAAATCAAAGAGGAGAAGGGCAAAACAAAGAAGGGAAATATAAGAAAAGAAATTAATGAATTGAAGCTGAAAAAAATAAAGGGAAGGATAAGCATGAGGAGAAGGTAAAAATTCAATAAAAGCTTAAAATTTAAAGTAAGCGAACAAATACAAATTTTTGTTACATATAATAATAAGGAAAAGTAAAAATATGTTTTTTTGAAGCTGCTGGGAGTTTTTGAGCAACTGTGACTTCAACCATATACAAAAATTAATTCAAGGCTTTTATTTATCTAATTTATTTAGATTAAAATGTATTGACTTAGAAAAAGTAAAATTTTTTATAATTTCTTTCACATCTAAAGCATGTTGTTGGATAATCGGAAACTGAAAGAATATTAAAAATAAGTTTTTAATAAAAATGTTATTAGAATTTCTCAGAGTAACGGAATGTAAGACCTCTAAGGCAATGATATACACAAGAGAACTTATTATAAGAATGGCTTATATCTGCTGAGTCGAACAGACATAAATAAGTTATGTAAAAAGTTCAACATAGCATCAAGTATAATATATTAACAATGGGACTCCACTGAATATATAGAATATTTATATAGAGAACCTAGAGAACCGACACTCTCATTTTGATTGATTAAATTGCAATACAATTATTATACCAAACTAACTTCCCTTACTCTATTGTAAGGGCATTCAATGTTGACCTGGGCCACTCAGCTTTTTTCCTACGCTCATTCGATTGATTTCGCAAGTTTGCAATTTGGCAATCATTTGTCGATTTAATCAAATTGAATGCAGGTGCCAAAAAGTTTTGGGGCCCAGCTATGAAAAATCTTGGCCCATTGTCTGGGGAGTCTGAAATCAATTTGTGCATTTTATTGCCTACACACATGAGGGTGTACACACATGTGGGGGTGGATGTACTTGAGCTGTGTGTGTGTGTGTGTGTGTGTGTGTGATAATTTGTATCCGTTGGTGGGGCGGAAATTGAATACGAATCTAGTTTGTACTGAGCTGTTTGATTTGCTTGATTGGCTTTGGCTCATCTGCCAAGGGAAATAAATTTGAGCAAGTGATGGCATGATTATATACATATATACACAAATGTGAAGGTGTATGTATATGTGTGTGAGATATGCTTCTTATCGTGTGCATAATAATAATAAATGACAGCAGCATTTATAAATGCAAGCCAAAACTCTCGACCATGTTACCAAAACAGCAGCTTTTAATATGTGACCCGTTATACGATGTGTATATGTGTGTGTATGTGTGAGTTATACACACTGTGTAGCGTCCTTGAATTACTGCAAAATGAGCATTCCAACTGAGGCTGGGCCATCGCTGGCAGACAACAGATACAAAGCTTACGATAGCGAGATAGAGCGCAGGGCCAGCTGAAAAAGGGCGAGAAGTCGTAGGGGGCGGGGCAGGGGAAAAGCAGGAGGCACCAGGCAACAGTTTGCAATGAACAGGCAGCAAATTTGTTAAGTGACAAAAAACGCGTGATAAATTGCTGCAAATATATTTTCCGAAAATTTGCTTTTTAATGCGATGCGTGGCACGTGACAAAACGAGCCATGTGGGCGTGGCACGCGAGTGTTATCTAAATAAAAATTGTGCTAAATATGACAGCAGGCCGCATGTGCGTGTACGTATGTGTGAGTGTGTGCGCGTGTGTATGTGTATGTTTATGTGGGTAGCCTACGTGACGCAGCTGCGAAAAGCTGACCCGTGCAACATGCAATAAATAACAAAGTGAGAGCTCCCAGCACCGTTGATGCCACTTAATGAGGCATGTTGCGAGCTAATAACTTAGTTCACTTCCGGTGAAATTATAAAATGCTTCTGTTGCGTGCAAATATCAAAGACTTTTAAAGTGTTCCAGGATATTTGTTAGGCATTTGATTAAGTTTAAAATACAAAATTTATAATATATGTATAGTAATTAAATTCATCATGGTATATGTGCTTAGTGTTATTATTAGCACTATTCAAAATGTTTGTTTTTAATCAGGGTTAATAAAAACACAGCTCAAGTAATATTCTTAAAATATATGTGTCTATAGTCGACAAACGCTTTATACAATACATACATTAGTTTATGTAATCCCTTCACGAGTTATAATTTTTGATTAGTTTTATAAATAACCAGTTAGAACATATAAGTAAGTCAGGCTTTCGGAAATACTATTGTTCAATATTTAAAAGAGATAAAATTAGTGACTTTAATATATCAGAACTTCTTCGTTCATAAAAAGCACCTTAAAAAATTATATTAAAAATACTCACAGATAATTCTATCTCTGTTTATATTCGCACTTTATGCTACAACTTTTTTAGAGCTCTAATAAAATATTTTGTTTTTT